GGCCGCTCGCCTGCTCCTTCCTCCTCCTCCTCCTCCTCCTCCTCCTCCTGCTCCTTATCCCGGCCTCGCCAAAGTTTTTTCCCCTTCCTCGTTTCGGAGTTTTTTGGTTTTCTTGGGGTTTTTTTTGTATTTTTTTTTTTTTTTTAGCGTTTTCTCGCTGAGGAGAAGAAATAAAAAAGTTTTTTTGCAGGCTTCTCGCGGTTCTTCTCCGCTCCGCAGCCGGTGGAGACTTCGTTTCTCCGAGTTTTTACTTTTTCAACCCTTCCCTGCCCCTTAACGCTTAACTTTTTAATTTTTTTTTTTGTTTTTTAATACTTTTTTTCGCCCCCTTGTTCCCCCTCGGCCACTTTCTCGCATGAATCTCCTCGACCCTTTCATGAAAATGACAGAAGAACAGGACAAATGTATCTCCGACGCCCCCAGCCCCACCATGTCGGATGACTCCGCCGGGTCCCCCTGCCCCTCTGGATCCGGCTCGGACACGGAGAACACCAGACCCCAAGAGAACACCTTCCCCAAGGGGGACCCGGACCTGAAGAAGGAGAACGACGAGGACAAATTCCCGGTGTGCATCCGGGAGGCGGTGAGCCAGGTGCTGAAGGGCTACGACTGGACCCTGGTGCCGATGCCGGTGCGGGTGAACGGCTCCAGCAAGAACAAACCGCACGTCAAGAGACCCATGAACGCCTTCATGGTGTGGGCACAGGCGGCCCGCAGGAAGCTGGCGGATCAGTACCCGCACCTGCACAACGCCGAGCTCAGCAAGACCCTGGGCAAGCTCTGGAGGTGAGTGCGGAGCCGGGATGCGGAGCGCGGCGAGGAAGAGGAAGGTGCGAGCCTGGAAAAGGCGCTGAAAAACTTCTTTTCGCCGAGCGCAAAACTTTGTTCGGGGGAGAAGGCGGAATAGGAGCGCGGGGGAAAGCAGGGAAAAGTTCGCTTTCTGGTGTTGGAAGTGGTTTCTGCGCCCCGAGCGATGGCCGGGGGCCGGCGGAGCCCCTGGTTGTTCGCTTGCGCTGCCGGAGCGGAGGAAACGCTGGATTTTGGGGATTGCATCAGCTCGGGCCGGGCCGGAGGGAGCGCGGGGCGATGCGGGGAGGGTGGTGGCGGTGAGTGGCGCAGGGCCGGGTGGCCTCCGAGTGCCAGAATAAGGCGGGGAGGGCAAGAAAACACAAGGCGAGTGAGTCACCTGGGCCACCGCGTCCTCGGGGACAGCGAGGTGTGCCCGCAGGGTGGGCAGGGCGAGGGCTGCACCCCGCTGCAGCCCCGGGCC